TATCTATCTATCTATCTATCTATCTATCTATCTATCTATCTATCTATGTATCCTCTATCTTGCAGAGACTGAAGCAAGGTTCTTGCCCATGCTTAGCAAGTATTCTACCTGTAAGTGGCACTCAAGTCTTCATACCTTTTCCTCTGGATTTGTCCAAGAAACAGCACCATTTAGGAAACACTGCTTCTTCCCATCACATAGCAAGCCTCAAGCTCAGCTCCCATCTTGCCCCACACGGGTACAAAGCACAGGTTGAGCTGAGGGTGTGTGCTGGTGGATTTGCTAAACTCAGACACCGCTCACTGACTCCCATGGATACCAGGAAGCAGCAATGACTATGTATGGAAGCCCTGTGTCCCCTGAGGAAGTTCAGCCCGGGGCTCCACTCTGTCCTCTGTTCTTGTCAGAGCTTCTATATGATAGACTTCCCAGGGTCAGGAAGATTGGCTTGTCCTGAGAAAGCTGAAGCAGGATCAGGAGGCTGGGAGACACCGCATGGTGAGGAGTCCTCAGCACTTCACCCCTGGTCTTGCTGTGCCCAGGATCCAAGCCGAAATATTGCATAAAGCACAAAACCAGGGTGGACCAGGGCCATGCTGCCGCTGGCTCTCAACAGTAATCTGCCTTACCTGCACGAAGCTGAATTCCCTCCAGTTGAGTGTGTTGGCTATGGATGGAAGTGAGGTAACAGCCAGCAGTGACAGCATGCCCAAGGCCAGCACACCCAGGGACAGGTATATCTCCATTCGCCAAACTTCTTCCTCAACCCAGAGGCGGCTCTTGTTGGCCAAGACCTGACAGAAGGAAAACCATGACCACTGAGGCAAAGGCTGGCACCCTCGAACATGTGTGGATAAGCAGCAAAACACAAAAGTGAAAAGCCACAGTTCTGTTCATGCCCTGCTGGACAGCTCACATGGGTCAGGCACATTCTAAGCGTTCCCCGTGTGTCTGAAAGCCGTTAACTGTGGCTGGAGAGATGGCCCAGCAGTGAAAGGCACTTGCTGCTCTTGCAGAGGACCCAGGTTTCGTTCTCAAGTTTGGACCCATGTCTGGCAGTTCACTGCCACCTATAACTCTCACTCCTGGGGCCCTGACACCCCCCCCCCTCTGGCCTTCAAGAGCACTTGCACTCATGTGCACAGACCCATACATGGCATGGTATAAAAATAAAGATAAATGAAAATAAAATAAAATAAAAACAAATCTGTAAGCCCAGTGGTGGCTTAAATCTTTAATGCCTGCACTAGGGAGGCAGAGGCAGATGGATGGATCTCTGTGAGCTGGAGGCCAGCCTGGTCTACAGAAATAATTTTAGGACAGCTAGGACACAGAGAAACCCTGTCTTGAAAAATAAATAAATAAATCTTTAAAACTTCATCAGTCTCATGAATTCTCCTTAAGATAGAGCACTACACACACATTTTAGGGATCAAGGAAACAAGAGACAAAGATGGAGGTACTTTCTCAACTCATGGCTCCGTTCTTGGATGCTGCCAGCCATGAGTGCTTCCTAAGGTAGTGGGTAAGAGACCAGAGAGATCCAGGATATACAGAGCTTCAGCCGGGCTGGCAGTGCATGCCTGTAATTCCAGCACTTGGGAAGCTGAGTCAGGAGGATCATTGGGTCAAATCTAACCTGGGCTACACAGTGAGGCTCTCTCATATCTCACCCCCCGCCACACCAATCAAAAAAGTGTATGTTCCCTAAACATGGCTGTACCACATTGTTTCCAAGCCCCTGACAGTGCAGGACACTGGACAGGTACCGTTTCAGGGTTGCATCTCCCCCCACCCCCCAGTCTACAGACCCACATCTTTGCCAGCTGCCTCCTGCTCCCCCAAGCCTGTTTCCCCTGGACCCTTTTCAACCCGCTTCATTACTGGCTGGCACTCAAGACACATAATGACACTCAATGACATCCCCCCATCTCCAAACTCAAAACCCCCAGACCTCCTTCTTCCCATGTCTCCTTTTCTCTGAGGCACATAGCTCTTGCTCAACTGTTGCCAGGCTGACATCCCTTCACCAGTTGGTTCAGCAAGCACTTAGGAAGTACCTACTGTGTGCTGAGCCCTGAGCTGCAAAGAATGAGAACACCTGACATCATGAAGTTGGTGTCTCCCACTGAGCTGCAGGGACACACAGGTACATTGGGAATGTTCTGCCAACCTTCCCGTCACCCCTCCTCACCCACTGGCACTCCCTGATCCAGCACCTGCATGGCGAAAAACCTGAATCAAGGTCCTTCAATTAGGACTGTCATTTCCCTGCTCAACCCTGAATGCCAGTCCTCCAATCTGCCACCAGAAAAGCAACAAAGCCTCCCTGAGAAAAGAGGGTTAAGCAGCCTGCTCTCTGCCTTTCCTAACTGAGTGACTCAGACGTGTGTGTGTGTGTGTGTGTGTGTGTGTGTGTGTGTAACTACTTCAGCAAGGGGAAAAAAACTTGTATAAGCCTGTTACTGGCATAAAATATTAAAAATATATCCAGGGGCTAAGCAAAAATGGCTGCAAAGCTTATAGAAGGAACTAAAGAAACCAAGAAAATGCCATCTATGGCCATTGCCTGCAGAGTGGAAAAAGATGACCTGCTTTTTTTTTTTTTTTTTTTCTGAGACGGGTCTCATGTAGCCCAGGCTGAAGTCCAACTCAAAATGTAGCCAAGGATGACTTTGAACTCTGATCCTCCTGCCTCCACTTCCCAAATAGGCTTCATGAGTTCAAGCTTGCATCACACTGCAGGTTGTAGGTGGTGCTAGATGGAGCCCAGGGCTTTGTGCATGACAAGCAAACACTCTAACAAATGAGCCGCACCCCCAGTTTCCCACTCTGTATGACTTTAGGGCAGCCTTCTTCATATTAGTATCTGAAAGCCACAAAAGGACCAGGAGTTGGGAGACCTGCTTCTTTCCTGGCCACTAGCCATGTGGGACTTTGAAATAACATCTCTGGATCTCAGTTTCTTTGCCTGGCAGATCCAAACACTCTGGTGCTTAGCCGGTAATCACGACATGGTAAAGGCAGCTAGAACAGCATTTGCTAGTGGGGAGAGACTTATCTGACCTTGCAAAGGGCACAGGACCCTGCTGTAGCAGCCCCCAGACAGGACTGACTCACGGCTGGTGGTGTTAGCTAAGCAAGTCATCTCCTCGTGGTCTGCTGTTCAGGCATTGCTCATCGGCTTGCTGAGCTCAGGTGGTTAATACCACAAGTCTGGCTCTGCATGACTGCACTGTAGTCAACAGCGGCTTGTGAAGCTGGTGTCCCCCCCCCCCCCACCCCTACCCCGCAGAGATGAGCAGGGAAAGGCAGGAACGTGCCTCAGGGGGGGAATGTGACTGAATGTGGAACTTGGCAAGGAGGCTGAGCTGCTGGCCAGAGAGCCCCAGGGATCTGCCTGTCTCTGCCTCCCCAGGGCTGGGAGGGCAGGCACGTGCCATCCACTACTCCCAGCCTTTTCATATGGCTTCTCATGAGTGAGCAAACTCAGTTCTCCTGCTTGCAAGGCAAGTCTTTTGTTGATTGTCCACTGTCAGCTAAGTTTTACCTCTTCTCTCGTGGTCCCACACTGGTTCGCTTTGGAGTGAGGCGGACAGGGAAAGCTGCCTGAGGGTCAAACTTTGCTTTTGACCTTGACTTCTGCCTAACGTGGAAATGCATCTCTCCGAACAGCCCAGGCAAGTCAGAAAGTGATGCCAGTGCCAATTAGAGATAGTTACGATGCTGCTGGCAAATACGGTCTTGAGGGCCTTGGCCTCCCAGTCTGCATGGTCTTGGGATTCAAGGAAATCTTGGAGGGGTTCCCTGTGCCCATGTTAATGTTAGTGTGCTCCCTGTTCCCACAAGGCCCTGCAGCAGGCAGTGTGAGCGGTGGCCACGGGGAGGCACTGTCTGAGGTGGCCAAGAGCAGGCAAGCGTGGCTGCGTTCTGCAGGTCAGGCTTTAGGCACTGGATAAAACACTCCCCAACAGTGTCCAGGCCCGGGACCCAAAGGTGCGCTGGCCACATGCCTAAACACATCCAGGCTGACTCTTTGGTATGCTATACCCCAGCCTTGCTGAGTGTCACCTCAGACATGCCCCATCAGCCTCGCTCTCCCCTTGAGAATCTGGCAGAACAGGTGAAGCCCCTCTAGGGGGCAGACCATGTCCTGCAGGGGTGAAACCAGTGCCACCTGGGCCAGGAAGCTGGTGTGAAGTCCACACTGGGTTAAAATAATGTCAAGAAGGGTCTGGGCCAGGCAGAGGATTTAGAAAATGGAATATATTAAGAGGGAGGGGGGATGACTCGGTCAGTGGCACAAGGACCTGAGTTGTTTTGCTATAACCTACATTAAAAAAAGCTGGGCATGATGGCACATGCTTGTAACCCCGGCACTGGGAAAGCAGAGACAAGTGGATCCCTGAGGCTCCCTGGCCAGACCTACTTAGCAAGTTCCAGGCAATCGAGAGAGACCAAGTCTCAAAACACAAACAACAAACAAAAGTCCCCAAAGCAATAAGAAGAAAACCAAGGTGGATAGTGCCCAAGGATCGACAGCCTCGATTGTCCCTCATCTCCACACGAACAGGCGCACACACATACGTGTGCGCATCTGCACACAGATGAGCATATGCATACACACAGAGAAAGGGAATCAGACAGTTGGGGCTGGGGAGGGGGCAGCGGCTTCCCTTGCGCACTGGGAGTGGGTGGGCCCCTCCTTCCAAAGCTCTCCCTGCACACCCAGAACACCGCAGAGAGGGGCGAACAGCCAGGGCTCCAGCCCCTGCACCACCCGTCCAGGGCAGGACACACTGTCTGAAGGCTCTTCAGTAGTTCACAGTTCCCACACCAAGACAGCTCCCTCTTGATCTTCCCCCTCTACCTCCCCAGTGCTGTTCTCCCCCCCCCCCCCCCCCCCCCCCCCCCCCTGTTTACGTGGTGCTGGGACTCAAACCAAAGCTTCACGAATGCTGCCCAAGCGCTCTACTGCCTGAGTCAGCCCAGTCTGGGTTCTAATCAGTGGTGGAGGATGAGAGGGGCTCTGGCCTTCAGGCTGCTGCCATCACATACCGGCTGAGGCCAGGGACAAGACTGTGCCTCTCTCACTCATTTCTGTGGCAATAGGGCCTTGTAGAGCCTGGTGAATGAATGAGTGAAAGAATGACTCAGACTCTGAGCTCATCTACTCAGCTGTTAATTTTTCTGTAGGAAGTAACATGGGAACCAGCATGGCTCTGGATCCTAACCCTGCTGTGTATATTCAGTCTAATTACTTAACCTCTCAGTGCCTTGGTTTCTTAAAGGTCAATATAGTACCGCACTTGTGTTGAGGAATGAGTTGGGGAGGGGCAGAGGGATTCACTATGGGCTTGGGCAGCTCTTGCAGCATGCCTGGAACACAGTGAGCTCCTCTGGAAGAACTGGCTATTACTTTTCCCTTCTCAGTTCCAGCCAGGACCTCGGTTCTCTACCTGGTGCCTGTGATTGGGAAGAAGCCATTGGCAGGGAAAAAGGAGCCTGAGGTGGGCAGGGCAGAGGTGGAGGCCTGCTGTCCAACAGCAGAGCTCACTCCCACGTCCTCTGTGTCCCTTGGTGAGCAGGGCGGAGCTCTGCCTCATGGGGTCCTGAGCAGCCTCTGGAGCTGTACTGAGGATGAGTGAGATGCACTTTGTGAGCCTTGGGCTGAACCCTCCGGGTGACTGGTGGCAGCCACCAACCCCGGGCCAAGGCTGCGGCAGAAAAAGAAAACCAGAGACCAGTATAATCCTGAGCTTGGAGCTGAGAGACCTGAGCTGGAAACCAGGTGAGATGTGGGGCCGCTTCTGTGTGCGTGGCTGCCTGCCCCCTGGCTCGGAGAGCTCTGCTGTCCAGGAGCCCACTGGGCAAAGTAGTGCAACTGGCTTTTTTTTTTTTTCTTAAGATTTATTTGTTATTTATACAGCATTCTGCCTGCATATCAGATCTCACTATAGATGGTTGTGAGCCACCATGTGGTTGCTGGGAATTGAACTCAGGACCTATGGAAGAACAGCCAGTGCTCTCAACCTCTGAGCCACCCCTCCAGCCCCCCAAATGGCTTTAATCCCAGCACTCGGGAGGTTGAGGCAGGTGGATCTCTCCGAGTTTGAGGCCAGCCTGGTCTACAAAGCGAGTTCCAGGACAGCCAAAGCTACACAGAGAAACCTTGTCTCAAAAAAAAAAAAAAAACAACAAAAAACATATCTCAGTTAAAAATGAGAGCTGAGGTGAGTAGTATGTCAGTTGTCAGTTGGCAAAGTGCAAGTGTCATGATCTGAGCTTGAATCCCAGAATCTATGACTAAGCTGAGGGCATGTTGGAAAGATAGTTCTGTGGGTGAAGTTCGAGGTCTCTCTCACACACACACATACTCACACACAGATGTGCACGCACACACACATACACGTGCACACAGAGTTTTAAACCCAGTGATGCAAAGATGGGAGATGGAGACAGGTGGACCCCTGGAGTTTGCTGGCCACCTAGCCTACCCTGCATGGTGACATTCTAGGCCAATGAGAGACACTGTCTCAAAGGAAAAGTGGAAAATACCTGAGATATGGCACCTAAGGTTGTCCTCTGACCTACACACACACAGAGAACAAAAACGCAAGCCAACAAAACGTCATAAACCAAAACCATATCCTTGACCTCGTTCCCTTGTCCCCAGGTGGCAACTCCATCTTCTGGGGGCTCAGAAACAAAGCCCAGACATGCCCCATCCATTCCTTCAGCAACTCTGTGTGCTTGTTACTAAAATATGTCCTCTGTATTCCTGCCATAGCCTCCCTCATCCCACTCAATGCCACTACCACCATGTAGGTAGGATCAAGAATCACCTTGGCCTGCTCTCTAATTACCTCCCCCTGAGGGGGAAGCAGCATTACCAGGCCACAGAAGAAGACAATGCAGCCACTCCTGGTGAGACCTAATTGACTAGGATCAGAAGGAAGGAAAAGAAGACCTCCCCTATCAGTGGACTTGGGGAGGGGCATGCATGCAGAGGGTGGAGGAAGGGAGGGATTGGGACGGGAGGAGGGAGGGAACCACAGGGGGATACAAAGTGAATAAAGTGTAATTAATAAATAATTAAAACAACAACAACAAAAAAGAATCACCTTTACCTCCTTTGGGGTCTGCAGTGTCTGCCTCTGACTCCTCTTGCCTATCTGGAACTTAGCAGCCAGTGGGCTGGTCAAAGCATCAGACAGATCCTTGCTCCTTAAATCAAAACCTTTCCTTGGCTCAGTTTCTCTCAGGACCCTATGCTTCCTCTCTACCCCATCCCTCCCGCCTGCCAGGCCCCAGGTCTGACTGGGCTCTACTCCCTGTCCTCCTAGTTGGCCCCTAAAAGGGCTGCTCTTGCTGCCCTCGGCCCCTAACACCTGTCTAGCTCACCTCTGTTCACATGACACCCAAGCAGCAAAGCCTCCTTTGTCACCTTTAGAATGAACCCACAGCTTGGTAAGGCGGTTGACATGCAAGCATGAGGAGCTGATTCAGTCCCTTGAAACCCACGTTTAAGAAGCCGGGTATGGTGGCATGGTATCTGTAAGCCCAGTTCTCAGGAGGTGAGACAGCTGGACACCTGGGGCTCACTGTCTAGACAGCCTAGCCTAGTGGATGAGTTCCAGGACACCGTTTTGTAAAACAAGGTGTGGTTGGGAGATGGCTCAGTGGGTAACTCACTTCTTGTGCGAGCCAGAGACCTGACTTCAATCCCAAGAGCCCACATAATGCTGGACGATGCAGTGCAGGCCTGCAGTGCCAGCACTCGTGCAGAGAGGAAGGGTGCAGGGACAGGCAACGGTCCCCAACCTTGACGGACAGCTAGTCTAGGGCACACAGAGGCAAGCTGCATCCAATAGACCCTATTTCAAACAAGGTAGAAGGTAAGGACCAGCTCTAACCTCTACAAGTGTTCTCTGACAGATACATGCCCACACTTACAGACAGCAGCACACACGTGCACACACACTCCTGTGTTCAGTCACACCCCCATGCACATACACACACTAGCCCACCTCTCTCCCTGCTACGTCTTTTCCTCAGTGCTCAAGAACCTCTAAGACTCTGCTCTCCCTTGGCCTTACCTTGGTTGGGTCTGCATGAGTAAGGACAGCCACGCCGGCCCCCACCAACCTCCCAAGGAAGATGATGGCCTGTACCTGCTTCACAGCCAGGTTGACCAGGTCGTAGCGGTGCGAGCGGCGTAGCGGTAGGCACACACTGTAGAGGGCGTGCAGCATCGCGCAGAAGAAGCTGAGCAGCCCAATCTGCTTGCGATGCTGCAGCCAGTGGTCCAGCCAGTCTGGGAAGCGCTGGTACTTGGTCCCCCTCTTCAGCTGAAGGACGGCTGCCAGCACACCGGGCAGGTACACCAGGGACAGCAGCACGTAAGCCACACAGGGCAGAGTGGTGTTGACCACAGACAAGGGCATCTTGTAGAACTTGTTCTCGTTCTTCCGCACGTAGGGCTGCAGTACGTCCCGGATGAAGTTGTAGGCATAGAAGCACACAAAGAGGCCCAGGGCCAGCAGGGTGGGCACCTTCCAGGAGGGAAGGAGGCGCAGGGGTATGGCTTCTACCTCCCGGGCTGAGGCCAGGGAGCCCATGTCCAGGGGTGTGAAACCCATGACACGTGCCATCTCCGAGATGGTGTGCTTGGCTTCTAGCTGGTCACTGCAGACAAGCACCTGTAGGAGAGAAGGGGACAGCTGGCCAGAGTCACAGGTATGGCATGGCTATGGTGACCAGCAGGATCAAGCGCCTCAGTGAGTTGAAGAAACTGAGGCACAGAGGGGCAGGCACTGGTTCCAGTGAGTGGCCAACTGATGCTACAACTGGGAGTACAAGATGGCTCTGATGCTCAAGCCAAGGACATTCCCAGAAGCCCCTGTGGGTGTCCTGCTGGCTCCATGACATCACTGTCATGGTGGATGCTCAGTCAGGCAGCCCCTGTTGCCTCTGGAACAGCTGGCTAATTGCTCAGTGGCCACATCTCCCATGTGTGCCCTGAACGTGTAGCAGCAACTATAGAGGCATTCTTCAGGATAGGGGTGTTCTCTATGCTGCTATCTGGATTCCACAGAGAACTCAGGCCCCGGCAGCCATAAGTCCACCGTGCCTCCTGAGTTCCAGTGGAATAGACACTGGCTAGGGTCCCCAAGGACCCTAAGCACCCTTGCTGAGTAACTGAGCAGTTACTCCATCAGTGCAGTGATCTTAGTCTCCTGCACGTTGGTTCCATGACACCATCTTTCAGAAGAGCAGACTAAGGTCTCAGAACCTCCGGGTTTTGTTTGTTTAAACTTTGGTTCCTTTGCAGATTGTCAAATCAGCCTGGGTGTCCACTCTACTTCCTGAGCCTGGGTCTAAGGCCAGCTGAGTCCTTTTGCTCTGTCACCTTAAAGCCCTCTGTCCTAGTCAGCTCTACCTGCCAACATGGCCATTAAGTCACCTGAGAAGGGCCTCAATTAAGGGATCATCCAGATCAGAGGAGCCTGTGGGCATGTCTGTGGGAGATTGTCTTAATCGCTAATTGATGCAGGAGGGCCCCGCCCACTGTGGGCAGCACTGCCCCTAGGCAGGTGGCCCTGAACTGTGTAACCATGCTGGTTAGCCATGCCTGAAGGAGCCAGCAAGCTCAACTCCTCTACAGTTTCTGTTGTACTTTTCTTGGGTTTGAGTGAGTTCCCTGCACAGAGGTGATGCTGTGTAGAGTATCAGATAGGCCTGGGTTCTTAGGCTGACTTACTCCAGGGATGGACTGTGATCTGTATGCAGAAATACACCCTTTTCCAACAAAGTTGCTTTCAGACAGTGTTCCATCACAGCAACAGAAAGGAAGTGAGAACACTATATAAAACACCGTATAAAAATCCTGTCCACCAGCACTTAGGAGGCACAGGCAGGTGTATCTCTGTGAGTTCAAGGCCAGCCCGGTCTACAGAGTGAGTTCTAGGACAGCCAAAGCTACACAGAGAAACCATGACTTAAAGTCAACAACAACAAAAACTAACAAACAAACAAACAAACCCCGTCCACTGTCCCTATCTAGTCCCCACCTAAAAGTCCCACGGTACCACCACATTCTAGGCCATGCTCGGAGAGTTAGCCAGGTGCCTCTAGATTCTCTCAGAGATGGGCCCTGAATAGGTTTGTTGGTGGACATTCTGCTGCACATGTGGAGTCTGGCTTTCTTTTTTCCTTTTGGTTAGGAGTGGTGTTTGTGAGGGTGTTGCAGGATATTTAACCCCATTGTGCACACCATAAAAACCTGCCTTTTGTTTGGTGTGGCTCAGCCCTAGCACAGACCTCTAATCCGTTTATCGTGAACAGGTGATTATGGTGTGACTCAGCCATTGCACACACCTTTAATCCAGGTGCTCTCTGTACTCAGAGTTTAACAAAGCTAACTAGGTCACGAAGATGAGCAAAACACCAGCTGACAGGGATTAAGTGGAAAGAAGGGGCATTGAGTTGAAGGGTATTTAAAACAGTGTGGAGAAGAAAGAGTTCTTTAGCTCTTTTCTTTAGCTTTGTGGCTTTTTCCTCCTGGGCTGTTGGGGGAGCTAGCAGGCCTTTTTCTCCTAGGCCATCAGCTGAGCTCGCAAGCTTTGAGCTTTTGTCTTTTTCCATCTGGGGTGTGAGCTAAGCAAGAAAGGCTTTTTCCATCAGGACCTGAGCTGAGTAGGAAGGTGAGCTGGGTGCTTTCTTTGCCTCTCTGAGCTAGCAGGTTTTCACCCCAGCATCTGGCTCCTGACTCTTCATTGGTAAAAATAAAATGATTTAGGATTTTCTTCTTTGTAAAACAACATGAGGGCGTATGTATGTGGGTACATATGTGGTCATGTATGTGTGTGCATGTGCATGCTGAGGGCAGAAGTGAAGTCAATTATCTTTTCTATTTGTTTCCACTTTATTTTTTGAAATAGGGTCTCTCACTCAACCTGAAGCTTGCCTTTTCCAGTTAGACTGGTCGGCTATCAAGCCCCAGAGAGCCCCATCTCTGCCCCCCGCCCTCGCTGGGATCACAGCCACCACATATGGGTTTATGTGGATGCTAGGGAACTAAAATTGGGTTCTAATAGTTGCCTAGAATGCACTCTGCCCACTGTGCCATCTGTGACCCCACAATATCTCCTTCTTGACTCCCAAGTCAACAGCCATCACCTTTTTCCTTCTCACCCTGAGGAAACCCAGTTGTATCTCAAAAAGAACATGGATCCCATGTTTATATTAAGAAGGTTCATATCTCAACTCACCAGCTCTGGGTGAACATCATTAATGTCTTCAACTTCCTGCTATGTCAGATGAGATTTTTTTCAGTGGTGTGAGGAATACTGGCTGCCATTCCCTAGCACCTACCTGCCTGTTCCCATCCTTTGGGCCAGCCTGCAAGGCCCATGCAGAGATGACGTTGAAGGCCTTGACCACAGTGCAAGCAGGGAAGAGTGAGGCTAGGTACTCAGCGTTTGACTGGTGGTGCCGAAGATGCTCCCTCTCTGTGGGGTTGCTCACATCCACCAGGATCTTGCCAGCCAGCTTGTCACCAAGACTGCACAGCGAGGAATAGTGCTCCCGGAACATGGCTACAAAGATGACCTCTGCAGAGCTCACAGCCTCCTCCTGGAAAGTCACTTGGGCTGAGAAGGGAAAGAGGCCAGCTGTGCGTTTGGGATTACGGCTCCCCACCACCACACGGAAGCCGGAGCCCACCAGGCGTGTGGCCAGGGAGCGGGCAAAATCCCCACTGCCCAGGATGCCCACTTTGGGGGCCTCGTTGGGGACCTCAGCCAGACTGCCATCGCTGTCCACCAGGCGGCGACTGATGAGCGGCTTGTCCATCTCCCCCGACATTGCTGTAAGAGAATGCAGAGAGCGGGTCACTGGAGGGCTTCCAGGGTATGTGGGCCCCTACCTCCCACCTGTGTCAAACTTGGCTGGTTAGTACTTCATCCAGCAGACATCACTGAGTATTCCACCTGCAAACACAGGGGACAAGAGGAGCAAGAGCAGCAGCCCCTGCCTGGATGAGGTCACATATGCAGAGTGTGGAGGGGCGCCTAGCTGCTGAGGAAGGCTGGAAAGAGGGAAAACGAAGGCAGGGGAGATGGCTCAGCAGGTAAAGCCCGTCCATGCAAGCTCAAGGACCAGAGTTTGGCTCCCCAGCGCCCACATAAACACTGGGTGGGCACGGGAACTAAGAAAGCAGAGAGGGTATCCCCGGAGGCAGCTGATTAGTTAGACTACTCATATTGGGTTCACCTGGAGGCCCTGCCTCATTGAATATGGCATGCATATAATATGTACACATACCACATGCAGACACCGAGGGCAAAAGAGACAGAAAACTTGAAAGGACACGGAAAGAAAGGATTCCAGGTGGAGCTTCCCGCCTGTCGCGCGCGGCCTTTGCCGATAAGGATGACGCAACAACCGAGGATTTCTTCAGCAGCAAGTTTATTGAACAGCTCTTTCTTGCAGATGGTGAAGGACCCAAACCCCGGGTTGTGCTCTGCTTAAATAGCCAGCAGCGCGACCTGTCCGTCTGTAATTGGTGCTCTGTTCAAGTCTTCATAAGCATATGGCTGGCAATTGGAGTGCAGCCTAAACCCTCATTAGCATAAAGCTGCGCATGCGTAAACTGCAGGGCAGCGCAGGCAAGAAGCGCGAAAATGCTGGCAAGAAGAACCAGGAAGCAGGAAGCCGGCGCCATCTTGTAATGGCGGGAGCGGCTCCCGACACCCGCCAGCTGAGAAGCAGGGATTCCAGTACAATGACCGACATCTGCCATGACAGCTGCTGACACAGATTGTATGCATTATATGTGTTGTCTACAGAGAAGAATGGTAAAATAGCAACGGCCTGGGGTGGGAGGCGGCTCAGTGGATAAGGCACTTGAGCTGGGCAATGGAGAGCCTCTGCCCAGCCACCCGGGACCTGGGCTCATCCCTCCTCACCCTGCGACACTTCCAGACTAGGGTGTCCGCATTTGTTACCATCTGTGTGACCTCAGAAGCTGGGTAGACAGAAGAGTGTCTTCCATCTCTACTCTCAAATTGCTGAGGCAGGAGAATAGGGCAGAGAATAAGGTTGGAGAAGGCTTTGAGCAAAACCTTAAAAATTAGCATATAAAAATTGGCAAAAAAGGAAGCATGAAAACCCTTGGCCTTGGCACTAAATCTGGCCATTAGTACAGGCACATTAGTACAGGTACAGGTGTTTGTGCATTGTCCTTTTAGTGTGTGTGAGGTACATACGTGTGGACATCAGAGGATGTCCTTGTATGTCTGTCCTCACTGCCTGCCATGTTTGAAACAGGGTTTCTTGTTATTTTTCCTTTGCATACACCATTCTACCTGGCCCATGAGCATCTTTGCTTCCCATCTTCCCATAAGAATGCTTTTTTTTTTTTTTCTTCTGACACAGGGTTTCTCTGTATTCCCTTGGCTGTCCTGGATTCGCTTTGTAGACCAGGCTGGCCTCCATGTCTCTGCCTCCCCAAGTGCTGGGATTAAAGGTGTGGGCCGCCTGGACTGGCATATATCCAGTTTTTGTGAAGGTTCTGAGCATTTGAACTGAGATCTTCACGCCCGCACAGCAAATGCCTTTTACCCACTAAGGTGTCTCCCCAGCCGATGACCTCACAGTTCTGCATGGGTATGGCCACACCCAAGGGCAAGGCCTGCCACTGATCTGAAGGCCATAGGGAGGGACAGAGCAGGCGGCACATCATCCTGGAGGTCTGAGAAGCCCAGAAGTCAGTGCTGCTGTGTTTGGTGGCAGTTAGAGCCATCTTGTCTGGCCTCTAGCTGTACCCCTGATGTGGGATCTATTTATAGGCTGAAGGCACAAAGGGAGAGGGATCCAATTGCAGCGGATGGGCCTAGGTCTGTAGCCTGAACTACTCATCTCGCCAAGCTACAGACTGTGGCTGGGTGACCCTGTCCCCTCTGGGTCTCTGCCCAGGCTGCTTGCCCCTTCTCACTTCTCAGCAGAGCCAAAATATGGGCTGCAATTTTGGCTCTGATGTACAGCCAGCCTGCCAGTCCCCGCCAGATCCTGGGCAGGCAGGAATGAGGATGTTCATGCACACAGTGGCCCTGGCCTTTTCTCATGGCTTGTGACAACCCTTCAGATTCTGAGTGGTCAAAGCATCACCTCCAGGAATCCTCTGGCTGTAGTTATCCTTCCAAATTACAATACACACTGTAAGGGAAAGCAGGTGGATTCTCAGAACCCACAATTACCCCCAGCTGTCAGGGATGCCCCTGTGTTATCTTTGGGGGCAGGAATGTTCCTCGACTCTAAGGATGAAGCCCATAAACAGACCAAGGCTCAAATTTTCTACCACCAAGCTACATCCTCTGCCCACTTACTTTTTTCTTTTGTTCTTTTAAACCTTCATGTGGGAGAGAGAGCTCGGGCAGGAGTGTTGTGTTGTGGGGATGGGGTAAGAGGATGTGCATATCACCACAGTTTGATCGAGGCAGTCAGAGAACACCCTTGTGGTCCTCACCTCTGCCCTTATTTGCAGTGGGGTCCTCTGTCGCTCACTACTGTGCACAGCTGGCTAGCACAGCTGGCAAGCTCCAAGGAGTGTCCCATCTCGGCCACTCATCTTGACATAGAACACGGGGATTACCGAGATAGAGCACTGCACCTGTCATTTATGCAGGCTCTGGGAATCTGAACTCAGTTCTCCATGCTTTCACTGTAAGCTCTCGGCTCCCTGAGCCAGGTCTTATATAGCACAGGTTGTCATCAAACTTGTTATGTAGCTGAGGATGACCTCTGACTCTTGACCTTCCTCAGTGCTGGGATTAGAGGTGTGCACCATCACACCTGGTTCACGCAGGGATAGAGACTGAACCCAGGGCCTCATTCATGTTAGGCAAGCACTGTGCCAAACACCCACATCCACCACCCAGCACCTCTATGTTTTATAGAATATGTGTATCCATCCTCGGCCTCCTTCCTATGGTCAGGACTATCTCAAAGATGTTTGCCTGTGACAGTCCCTGCCTAGACCCAGGTACTGCTAACCTGCTGCACATACATACCCCGTGTCCACCAACATTCCAGCAAAATGCTAACCTACAAGAGCAAGAGGGGACCTTGGAAAAATGCCACATCTGATAAGTTCTTTTTTTCTATATTCACCGGCCAAGCCACCTTGCCAGCCCGAAAGTCAGAAGTTCACAGTTTGTGGAAAGGGAAAGTGGCATGGCCCCTGGAAAGGTCTGCCTCACAGGTCCTCATAAAGTTAAAAGGACTTTTCCACTGCCCCAGCCATATGGTCCCGGATAAATGAAAACACACCCATACAAAAACACATATTAACAGCACTCATCACAGCAAATGCCTATCACCTGATTGTTAAATCAACAGGGTCCATCCCCACAGTGAAATACTACTCAGCCGTACAAAGGAGCTATAGGCTAATTCCTGCTCCACCATGGATGACCCTTTTAAGTAGTATGCTAGCCAGCTGTAGTGCATACCTATATCCAAGTACTTAGGAGGCTTTAAGCAGAACTTTGAGTTCAAAACCAGCCCGGGCTACTTGCTAAAGGCTTGTCTCAAACAAACAAATGAAAGTAGATGCTAGCCAGGTGCGGTGGCGCAAGCCTGTAATCCCAGCACTCGGGAGGCAGAGTCAGGCAGATCTCTGTGAGTTTGAGGCCAGCGTGGTCTACAGAGTGAGTCCAGGACAGCCAAGGCAACTCAGAGAAACCCTGTCAACACCGCCCCCCCCCCCCAAAAAAAAAAGCTTAGGGGCCAGACAGTGGGAAGGGCCATGTATCCTATGACTCCATAAGTGTAAAACACCAAGAGCAAGCAGATCTGAAGAGAGAAATCGGATTAGTGGTAGTTGCAGGCAGAGAAGAGCTTGGGGGGAGGGAGGAATGGGGAGTGAGCTCACCAGCCCAGGGTTTCTTTTTATAGTGACACAAATATTACAACATTGATTGTGGACAGCTGCACAATCGAATGCATGAAAAAATTTGAACATATGCAAACACATGCAAATGAAATATATGCCGGGGGTGTGGTGGGGGTGGTGGCTCAGTGGCGAAGGGCATGCACTGCTTTTGAAGAGTGCACCGGATCACAACCTGACCTCTGCAGTCGCTGCATTCATGTGCACGAACCCACACATAGACACTACATTAAAAATAAAAATGAAACAAAAAAAATTTTTTTTCAGGTTTTATATGCTCGCTCAGCATATGTAGAGACTCTGGGTTTAATTCCAGGCGTAACACACACAAGTTTTGTTTTTGTTTTTAAAGAAACTGAGTTTCTAAGGACTATTATTTCTGTGACTGAGGAGCAAAAATGCTTTGGGGTTGAGCCTGGATTTTGTGGCTCATTTGGCTCTGCACCCCAAGGCTGTTTCCTTGCTTTTTACCTATTTGAGCCCTTTAAGCCCCATGACCTGCAGAGAAGCCAAGCTTATGCAACAGCCACTGTTAACTGTTGGAGAGGAGCCACCATCCCTGGGAATCAACAATGCTCTTGGCTCAACAGCATCCTTGGTCTAGGAGGGCCTGTGGCTTGTTTCTGACACTGCTGAGGTCACCATTCCAGAGTGGTATGGATGAATCTGTGGGTGCTGAGGTCTGCTCTGACCCCCTCCCGGATGTGTCCAGGTAGGAGGGACCAGCTGCCTCCTTCGATAGTCACTGAAAGGCCTGGGGTTTAAATAAGGGCCTGCAGCTGGACACAGCACACAGCTGCAAATCTTCCAAGAGGCATCTAGAAATGAGCTCAAGATGGACTGCAGGATTCCCGGCAGTTAGATAAAAGCATTCCAGCATTCCGCAGGAACTTGTGAAACAGGTTCATGTTCCCC